AGGCGCGAACAGCGTCGCCAACACTGTGGAAGCTGGCTATAACGGTGCCAAGAACACGGTGTCATCCGCCGCGCATAAAATATTTCGGGTTTTTCGCTGAGCTAGCGTTCATTTGGCAAGATGCAACCTGATTCAACCTGGGTACTTCCATGTAGATCATGAACAAACCCGGTTGAGTCAGGGAGATCGTGCGGGACTGCGTCCGAAACAGACGGTGCTCAGGAAAAGCCAAGGTTACGCTGCTCCACAACGATTTTGCCTTCCATTCGCAGCGATGTAGAACTGTGGCAAGAGTGGCTCGAGCCTGTCCAAGCAGCTAGCTGCAGAGGTGGACATGAAGCTCAAGCCATTTTCAAAGCGCAGTCCGTGCGAGAATCATGTTTCGGTTGACCTCTTCCGCAGGTTTTGCTCAGCGTAGTTGTTGAGAGCATGTGGGCAATGTTTTCGACACCTGCACTAGGTTTACAGCCAGCCCTTCTCAGCAAAGAGGGCACCAAGCACTCCAATGCATTGTGTCAAGTACATGCACATTCCAATTTGCACATTCGGCGATGGTAGCGCATAAAGATTCGCAACCGACACGTGGCATTCCCGGATCTGAGCAGCTTGGTGTCGAATTTGGTGGGCATGTTTGAGTTGGCTGGACATTGTGTGCTTTTTGAGTGTCCTTTCTGTATCACAAGCATGTCAGGTTTCAGCATAGAAGGACAGCCGCAGAAATCCATCGATGCAGACGTGGTCAGCGTACTGACATCAAACCGCCAGCCTCTCAACATTGCGTCCAGATCCATGTGTGCCACAAGCGGCGCCGTCCCTGCTTCCAGGAGCGAGTGGACTAAATTTGGTTACGCGGACAAAGACGAGGCAAGTGCGGTTGATTAGGTTCATTTGTCTGCATGCCTGTCTGGCAGGTCCTCCATCGCGAACTCACATATGATGCCCAAACTTTGCCCATCACTCGAGCTCCTCTCTTAGTGTGTGAACGGTACATGCCTAAGAGTGCTAGTTGACGGATCATGTTGTTTTGGGTTCATGAGTTTTGAGAGCAGCTCTGGTGCTTGCCTGAGTGTTCATGAGGCAGTGCTTGGGCGTCTTTTTTTGTGAGGTGAAACACAGTGAACTTTCCGTGGAGGACTTTCTCAAGGACTTCTGTTTCCGCATCGTGGTGGGTGCTCGACGGAAGTCTTGCTGCGACGGGAAGAATCGTTGCAGGACTTCGCTGCCAAGTCCAGACCCGTGATCATCGAGGTTGTGACTTTGCTCTCTAGTCAGCAGGTCATGCGAAGCAATGGCGAGAATTTGTCAGGGTGCCTGCTCATCTTGGCCAGCCTCTAGCCGATGGTCCTTGGATGCGTTGGAAGAGAGGCCAGTTTCTTCCTGAACTTTAGAAGCAGCTCTGCTTTTCACTTGGCCACAGGTTCCGTCATGTTGATTTCAAAGTTGGGTGTCGCTTGCATGTTTGCCTTCCTGTCATGTTCCAGTCTGCCATACCCTCCCATTTTCTCGATCTTCTTGACGCCTTGCCGTGCCAGGAAAACAGACAAGGGCAAGCCGGGGGCTGACTTTGTGGAATCATTCGGACATGCCGCGTGTCGGACAAAGCGATGTCAAACCGCCTTAGGAATATACAGTTGAAGATGAAATACTTTGTTGACTATTGTCGACATCAGAAAGATGCCCTCTTCTCAGAGCTGCCTTTGGGCTCTTGCAGTTTCCAACATGGGAATACATGGGATGTACCGTCCTGGCTACGAGGACAGTCCTTTGTATCTCTTTGAAACGAAAGTCGACGATACTCTGGCTTGTATGAGACGGCCGGTGTTCTGCACAATGTTCCCAACCAATGGCAAGCAGCGCATGCGCGTGTGATGCAAGTTGCTTGCCAGGAAACCAGCGCCATGAGGCATTTGTTGTCTGACTTTGAAATGCCAGAATTCTTTCCCGACGACTGGCCTGTGCCACAGACCTTCCGCAGAAGAATCGGCAGATATCACAGTCAGTCACTAGTGTCTCGTGGCATTTTGTGCTGAGGTTTGCATTAATGAATCATGATGCGCGACCTCCTCATCGATGGTGGTGCATCGGACCGAAAAGGCTGTGGTGTGCAAATAACAGCCAGCAGACAATTTGCGTGTCATCTTGGTGGCAGGTCTGGAACAACGGCCGATGTCTTACAAGATACACAGTGGAGTACAGACAGTACAGCCATGTAATGTGAATGGTCGTTGTTGGGTCGCAGTTCGTTTTCTGAAAGCTCACAATCAACTAGCTTGAGGTACACACTGATCCCTTGGGTACGGCCGCGTGGAACGTCACCCGGCTAAATGACTCGCTAGCTTTGGGCTGCTTCCATCTGCTCGTCGATACAGCACTTCGGGACCAGCAGGCTGTTACTCACGGCGTGAAGCGATGGGTTCTGTTCGAGCCAAGCACTCCAAAGCGAATCGACGCTCGACTTCACTGTGCAGCGACTTGTGGAAACTTGTGGAGTGTATCTGCCATCTTGGATGCTGTTGACCAGCCGACTAGAGCTGCAGGCAAAGGGCAAGGATGTTCTGACAAAAGGCTGGATTCTGTTTGGATTCTTTCGTGTTGAGCGAGTGGTCCCTGGTTCAGCGTGCACGCACAGCCGGATCCCATGCATGACGCATCCAAAGCATGACGTTCGAAGACTCCGGATATGCACAGCTAATCGGCAGTCCGTTTGGATGTTCAAGCGCGAAGCACGCAGGTAGTTTCTGTTCAACTCTGCGCTTGCATGTCGTTAAAAATTGAGTAATGTCAAGGTGAGTTTAGCTGAGCGGTGCTTTTGCAGGCGAAGACACGGAGGCCATCACTAGCTGCCACTAGCTGCCCCATACTAGCACCGACTAGCACTGACTAGCACTTCTTTGCAAGGCCATCATGTATTTCGATTTCTTGCTGCCTCGCATCAAAGAGGCATATCCAGATGCTATGACCTCGGTTTTAAGATTCTTTAGTGGTGCGTCAGGTCTTCTGTTGTCTTTGTGTACTCAAGATTCCAGGTCAGAGTCTATGAAGGGCTTCAACGTGCTGGAGATCTCATATTTGTGCCGGGGGACTGGGCACGCTGGGCATTGGCTAATGCATGTTTGAAGTTACCTTTGAAAGTTGCTTTTGGAAGATATGAGCACATCCCGCAGGACTGGTGGCACGGTGTTCTGAACCTGGAGGTGTCCTCCTAAAGAGCTTCAAGATGCTGCTACTCTGAAAACAGTTCGAGCAATTTCTACAATCACCATGGTTAGTCACTCAATCACAGGACTGTGTTGCGGTAACCCAAAACTATTGCATCTCAGCTGCAAATGCTTGGGCATGGCGCTGGGGTACCGAGTACAGCTTCCTTTGCAAGTTTGAGGCGGCCGTGATAACTTCGAGAACGTCTGGTGCCGAACTCGCAAAGATCGCGAGAAGGCTCGGGCAGACCCGTGCACACCAGTGGTGGCTTGTGCCTTTTCCTCCTCCTGCTTTTTGGCCAGGTGGCACACCTGTGGCTTCGAAACATGAGGAAATTTGCGCCAAGGTGTGCTGAAGCATCTGTGGGTTCCTAATGCATTGAGCTGTTTGTTTGCCGACTGTCCTTGCTGCATTCAGGAAGAGTGCATCGACTGAGTAAAGGGGCATGAGCATCACCGCAGAGGGCCAGAGCTCACTGTTTCCTTCTCTTTGAGCTTGTGAGGTTGCACAACTGGGCGCTTGATTTGAACACCCGTGATGGCAGCTCCAGCGCAGTTGCATGCGATTGCACTGGCTCTTTCATCTCCAACTAAATCCTGTAGCCCTGGTCCACCATTGCAAACGACTTCGCAAAGCGTTGGACAGTTCGCCAGGTTTTCGTATGCGGCACCAGCGCGGTGCAGGTGCGATGCCTCACAGCTGTATGCCGCAAATGGGCGTTCAGATGCCCTTAAAATGCAGGTGAGAAGCCAAATGGCTCGGATCCAGGCTCCAGCAGCAGTCCCAGTGGTGCAGAGTGAATGCAATAATGCCGCACAGAGGGTCTCAGAGGGTCTCTTCTGTCACCTGAGGCAGCGAGTCTTCGAGCAGCGATTCGACCAGCGATGAGGCAGAAGACCTCACCCATGAAGGGCTTGCGACGGTGTTGGGTCAAGTGCTTACACATTTGCTCAAGGCAATGCAAAGTAGCATGCAACAAAGCCCAACAAACCAATGATGATGCTGAGGCCCCGGCATCCTACTTGGAAGCGACAGGAAGCGTCAGGCCTACAAGCATGGAAGAGTAAAAAGAAGAAGCGAGGTGATGCTCTGTGCATAGATGGGTCGGGGGTTTCGATTCGATCAGCCTCGGCTTGTCGAAGAGTCCACAAGGTGGTTGTGGAGTTTTTTGGGGCTGCAAGTGGATTCCGCCTGCAGGCATTGCAGAGCTCTGTGTCGTCGGAGCCTGTGCAGCGGGATGCTGAGTGAATATTTCGGCCAGGCGCAGGCGGCCAATTCAGTTGCATGTTGTGTTGTTGCGAAAGCATGCTTCGGTTCGAGGTCGCGAAGACGGTATGAGCTGACTCATGATGAGCAAATGGCGTAAAAGGTCTGTGCATCATCCATTGGTGAACCACATTCCAGCCAGCATGAGGGAAATGACAGGGACATGCAATCCAATCTCGGAGCACGCTGCAGCAATTTGTTCAAACACATGGGTTTGACACGTGGTCATGCTTTGCCCATGTTGAGTCACTGAGTCCAAAGTCTTTTGAGACAACCTCAGTGCCTTTGTTCGGGAGCGTGGCGATGTCGGAACCAGCATCTTCTCAGCACAATGCAACGGCTGATACACAAACATCAGAAGACTTCAGCCAAGTATATTTCCAAACTGTCATGCTGTGGCACGGCAGCACGATGTTTGTCTCATAGATGTGAGGAGGCTGACAGAGTGATGTGACCTCAGCCGCTTCCAGCATTCTCACAATGTAAGCCGAGAGGGCTACAGAGGTGTATGTCTGCGCAAAGAGGCCGTCTCTGTCATGGCGGATAATGTTGCCCCCAGGTATTCTTGCTTGTTTGTAGTACATGGACGTGGACGTTCATTGTTTCAAGTGCTTTGGTTGGCCAGATACATCTGCTTCCTCTGCAAGCGGAAATTTGGGAGCGCGGCGCTTCTTACAAAACACAAGCTACGAGCTAAGCAGCTGGTCTTTGTATCCATGGAGCATCGTTCGGCATTCTGCGAAATGCAGAATGGATTGTTCAGGCAGCTGTCCGAGCTTCACAGAAGAAATCTCAGCAAGCAGGCAGATGTCAATCAAGTTTCAGCAATGTGCTTGTGTTATCTTGTGCTGATGTCAGGAAGAAGAGAACCAGCAGCGCAAAGAGGCCCGGCACAGGGCTCCTGTACTCGTCGTTACCTGAAACTCCACAGGGTTGGGAGCACATGATCACAACTGGAGGAGCTGCGGCAGGCTGTTGCGGCAGTCAAAAGGCAGGTTCAGGACAGCTGCGAGGGCGATGGGGGGTCAGACGAAAGAACCGTAGCCAGGGAGAGTGGAAGGCTGGTGTTGTCCCACATGCGTGGCTGAAGCAGTGCCGAAGCATTTGCGGAAAGACGAAACTTCCCATTCTGATTGCTAGCAGATGTTTTCCGTTCACTACCTGCAAGCGGGTGCTGATAATTTGCCTGGCCGAATCTGCTTTCGCTTTATTGGCACTTTTTTGCCAACGACCTGGGTAAGGACATGTTTGTGGCATTGAGATCTTGCTCAAAACCCATTCTTTGCCACTAACGTCAAGCCACTGACGAAGGTTTAGGGATGGCAATGACTGCAAAAGGAAGCAAAGGAGCACACGACCAAGAACCAGACAATGGTCCCCTCGTGATCACCGTGTCATTTGGCAAGTTTCAAGCATGCAATTGCATGACCCACAGTTCTGTCAGGAAGTGGAAGTTTCCTTGAGCAAGCTCGAGGCACCAGATGAGGCTCAGAGAACGCCAAATTGCGGTCAGCTGTGGTCAGCTGTGGTCTACTCTTTGTGCTGCAGACATGTGCAGACCACGCAGATGCAGGCACTGGAGAGCCAGCGGACCAGCTTGGACTTGAAGTGTCGACAGGCACATCCGATAGCTGTTGGGTCCAACAGAACACGTGGGAACATGCTCAGAACATTCAGAAAATCGTGAGAGCTCAGTTTTACAATACTTCTACAGATCTTGAATGCCGGCATCTCAGAAAATGAGTTCAGAAGCAGTGAGGATTCCACTAACCGGCCACTGCGTGTGGCGCCCCATGCGATGCAATAGCTTCCATCTCATTCCCTTCTTCCCTTTGCCATGCCCGCTTTGTTTTTTTCCCACCTGCATGTGCTAAAGTAAAACTTCAGGCCGGATGTGGGCCTTCGTACGGCCGGCTGCCCCCTGCAAAACAGGTTTCAGTGTTTCATCTTTCTGTTGACCACATCACCGGCCAGCCTTTGCCAGACCGTATAAAATCTTGGACACGCTGGCAAAACGATGGAGCGGAACCTGGGAGTACTTACCGCCACGACAAAGTCAGTTTCAAGGATTTGCAAACAAACCATGACCACTTTTTTCGAGCTTGGACACTCCGTTCAGGTTTCAGGATTTTGCCGTGCCTTTTGTTGCCGCGGAGTTTTGTGGTTTGCCATTTTTGTGGCGTTTGGATTGGGCAGCTGGTTCGGATTCAAGAACCTGCGAGCCTTTCGACTTTTCAAGGTTTGCTCCTTTGCTCTGGGGTGTTGTGCACTTTTCCGCTTCTTGCTTGGCTGTCGGATGTGCCACCTTTATGGGGTGGCACGCTTAGTTGTAGTTTTTTGCTGGCTTGTATTTTCACGGTTTCTTCTCAAAACTGCTTGGTTGCAACTTTTTTCTCTTCGAAACGGCCTGATCCCTCGAAGGAGTAGCCAAATACCTCGGTTAGATGTGTTTTTTGGGGTCTACACGTCTTCTCGCCATGTCACCTTAGGGTTTGCCACCTTTTGTACCCAACATCTCCGTTTAGGGCTAGCTGCTAGGCACCTTTTAGGGTTTAGGATTAGTCATGTACTTTAAGGGTTTGCAGACCCCATGGAGTTTGGGGGGCTTTCCACCCAATCCCCTTTTTTGAGGGTTTAGGGTTTGCCACCCAACGCCCAACATCTCCTTTCAGGGCTTCAGGTTTGCCACCTTGATCGCCGCCAACATTTAGGGCTTTCGGATTAAAAGCCTATTTGGGTTAACCATTTAGGGCTTTCGGATTAACAGCCTATTTGGGTTAACTACCCATCATCCCCTTTTAACCTTTTTACCTTCCACCCAAGGTCTCCTCTGCTTTTGGGGTTTAGGTTTTGCTGCCCAAGATGTTGGGTTTAGGGTTGCCACCCAACATGTCCTTCTAGGGTTTAGGGGGGCTTCTGTTTTTCACCCAACATCTCCTTCAAAGTCAAGGGTTTGCCACCCAACTTCCCTTTAGGGCTTTAGGGTTTCGGGTTTGACATGTTACGACCTTAAGGTTAACATTTTCAGCCACTCACTTATACTCTGGAATCTGAAGACCCACAACTGCTTTGGTCAAACTACGCTGAACCAAGGACAACGCCTTTGGTGGTTTTGATTCAATGCATGCGTGTTGACTCAGCAGGTCATGGCGGAGTATGGCCAAGTACTGCCCTTAGAAAAATGCGGTATTGTGACATTGTTAGTTGTTGCATGGCTTCGGCTCGCGCTCGGCTTCATGCAATCATCAAGGTACAAGAGAAACTGGAGATAAATCGACATCAACAACTCTGTGAACGACTTGCAGGTGGCAGGCACAGGCTCGCGTGAATTCGGAGCAGCCTTCCTTGTCTCGAGGCAGTGCTGACGGTGGCAGTCCACCGTGGATGCTTACTGGGGCCAGCTGTTGCAAGCAACCATTGTGCAAGTGCCTAGCCAGCGATCGAACTTGTGCAGAGGCGCATGAGACGAGTGTTGGCCGCTTGTTGATGTCTGCAGGCACAGCTCCCTTTGATCGGAAAATGCTTTTGCAGTGTGTCCTGGTGCCACCATGTAGCTGTGAGACATAGCGGGAGGTGCTGCCTCTTGGCAGGGCAACAAGGATCTGCCCATGCTTGGAGAAATAGACCTCACTACATTTCGCAGCAGTTCTTGGCCAGGAAGTGCAGGAAGATCGCTTTCGCAAGACTGCCTCGCTTGAGCTCAAAGTGCCTGTGTTACCTTCCTGGCATACTTGCGACATGTGACAGACTCAAAGGCAAAGGAGGCCTCAGCAACACAGCCTGCCAGTGGATGTGTCAGTTACCGATGTGGAGCTGCAAGCACCTGGAGGTCAACGTATAATTGGCCCTTTGACAGCAAGATCTGTTTTTGAACTTATTGTCAAGGCAGCAACAGCGCTAGAGTTTGGATGGATCAAGGCGTGCTCGTATTCGATGGGCACTCTGGCAGCCTCTGCGCCAGCAACTTACGTCTCTACTTGCATCAGGACGCCCCCAACCCCTAGACCCACCGTTGGGAGGTTGACATCATGATGGACTGGCTGCCCAGGCTGCTGGCATCTGCCAGATATTGAAGTGCTTCATGCTTCCCTCGACAGGAACCTCCAAAAGTGTCTGTCGGCAAAGCCGACGCTGACGGAGGAGCACCTAAAACAGGCAGCATGCAAGCCCAGCTTAATCCTCGTGTTGCGGGTGGTTTCTGACAGTCTCTAGCTGCAACACCAAGGTCACAGAGGCATGCGTCTTGACAGACGATGAGTTCTTGAACAAGGCCGCTTTGGAACTGCCTGGGCAGTTGTGCCACGAAGGGCAGCATTCCGCAACGGGATTGAGTCAAACAGCAACTAAACCGAGTTCATTCTGCCACTACCAGGGTGCAGGCTGCCTGCGGATTAGCACAGGAACTTTGAACACAAGCCGTCACGGTCACAAAGGCACTTCGATTGATTTATACCATGCGATGTTTGGATCTAGCAGAGCCTAGCTAGCAGGATCTAACAGGATGTTTGGTGCAAAGCCTGGCGTCGGTCCACGTCCCAAACCTCACTTGAGTGCCGTGTTTGCTTGTGATCAGGCGCGCGAGCGTGAGGCCTTAGACGGTACTACCATGATCCTGTGCCTCATCTGGCCTGATGAAGGAATCTGTTCTAGGCTTCTCTGATTATTTTAGTTATGTGCACGATGCTGGATGTCTTCCACATTCTGCAGGACTCCGCGGAGAATCACAGCCCAAGAGCAAGAACAGGCAGGGCGGGGTCGGTGCGCACTGATGTCTTTTCCTGTTTTTCGTCAAGTTGTCAATGAGCTGGGACATCTCGGGATGGTTGTCTGTTTCATGGCATGTCCGAGTTTGTCACTTGTGATAGACTGCATGACATGTCAACTTGTGCATCTCAAAACCTCCTCATTGCTTCTTGCTGGCTTATTGATTCGTGCATCAGCCTTGGCATCTTCGGGCTGAATCCAGTTCATTTCCAGATCTGCCTTACCAGAACCTTAACTCTTGAGACTCTTGAGATCCCTTGAGATATGACAAGGCAGCAACGGAGGCACTGTGGACCAGCCAGCAAAATGTACGACAGCCAGCAAACACGCCGAGTCCTTTACAAGTTTACAGGTATGGTGTTGTGTTGTCCTCACGATCGCCTCCGAACTGATTTTCCCACATGGTCCCGTTGTTCTACACTGTCAAGTCGTACCTAAGCTTTATAACCTCAAAAGTTCAGAAGAGTGATGGCAGTTGAAAATGGCCAGAATGCCAGCATCAAGATGTGGGAATCCTCGGGCTCTTGTTTATGCTGGGAGTGTCCTGAGTACCGAAGATACCGAAGTACCGCAACTTGTAGCTGGATCATGGCACAATGCAGGTCGAGATCCGGTCTGCAAACCTTTGTTTTGCCTAAGCTTGGTCTACAGATGTCTCCAGTTTGCTCACCGGTTGCTTGTTGCCGTGCAAGGCTGCTGGTGGCCAACTTGGGCGATTCTCGAGCAGTGCTTGGGCGTCAGCAGGCAGCCATGTTCATTTGGCTGGTGGTTGTGTGTTGTGCATGTCGGCTAAGAAGCGAGGCGGGACGTTTGGGTGCCGTGCGCCTCTCTGATGACCACAAGCCTGGACGACCAGACGAGCAGCGCCGCATTGAAAGCAACGGAGGAGTTGTGGACATGCAGGCCGCGCTCTCGGCAAGCGTGTGGCCCCGCAAGTGCAAGACATCCAGTCATGCGTGGCCTTCATTCAAGGGTGTGTGGCGAGTCTTCACGCCGGGGCCAGCAACCTTCGGCGGGCGCAGTCTGCTTTGGGGACTAGCGGTGTCGCGGGCATTCGGCGATTTGCTGATGAAGGACAGATTGCCTTTGGCTGGTCGAACGTTGAATTGCTAACAGCCTCTGTCAGCACGTCAGGAGCCGCAAAGATATGGGTGCACAGGCCTTGGCGGAATATTGATTGCACATGAGGTCTTGCATCTTTGGGTCGTGCAAAACACAAAGCGGACCCAAAAGGGGTGCTTCTCATGCTATGGCAGGCTGCACCGGCGCGCTGGTGAGCGCTATGCCTGAGATCACGATGTACGACTTAAATGCCAATGAGGTTTGGTCCGCGTGCTCCCTTGTAATGAGATCTGATACCTTTGAAACATGACAGGACAGATTCCTTGTGCTAGCATGTGACGGAGTTTGGGATGTGTTGGATGACGAGGAGGCTTTGATCTGTTCCAAGAGCACGTGTTTCGGCCGATTTGGGCATGCGCAGGCTGTGCTGGTTTGTGCTGAGCACAAAACTGCTGACTTGGCGGCGCATGCTCTTATTCGGTGGGTCGCTTAGTTGGTGCCATGTGCGATATGGCTTAGATGTCTTTGCAGGCAAAACCCGTGAGGCGACACGAGGGTTTCAGAACATGACGTTATCTACTCAGGCGGGCCTTTGAACTGGGGAGCGATGATAACCTCACTGCTGTTGTTATCGCGTGGCAGACTGGCGACAAGGCACGGGCCGGGTCGACGGACTCTGATGCTAGGACCCTAAAGGCCACGGAGAGGCCTTCACGATCTTCAGTTCTGCGGGCCGGGTGGCACCGTGCCCCGCAAGCTTGCTCGGGTGACTACCTCGACCTATTGCACTAGATAGCCTACTGAGCCCTGATAAAAGATCCGAACGCACCCAGAAGTCAAGGCTTCTTGTGATGCTTGTCGGCAAGTGAAATACACTCTCCCGCCTAAGCCGTGAAAGGGATCAGCAGCAGGCGATCGTTGCTGCTGCCAGTGCGTTCGTTCGTACGATCTCGGCTTGGAGCACAGAGACGTCCCGTCGCCCCCAAAAAACCCCTGCGAGTACGGCGCGGAACGTCGGCCCACAGATGCAGACGCACGCTCGTGCCGACTTCGCATGCGGGTGCTTCATTTGTTTTGTGGTGTCCTGACAATGGACGGCGGAGGAAGAGGGGAGTTCAAAGATTTGGGTGTCTAGCCGGCTTTGTTTTGGATCATCAAGCAACCTCTTGCGCATGGAAGGCCGACGACAACAAGAAGCCCCGCCTTGACTGATGCCCATTCACAAAACGGTTAGCTTCCACATTGCATCATTCAGAAGCATGATAATTGCGGTTTCTGTTGTCATCAAGTGAAGTCTTGAGATGCTGGACAGGTTCTTGTAGATTCTAGCTCATGTGTCGTGGCGAACCAAAAATTCGAAAGAAGGGGCTGTCTCGTGCCTTGTGTCGATTGAAGGCCAACGCCAAGCCTACTCAAGCTCACATGCTCAGGAGAACGCTCCATGATCACTGACAATGTCGTCACAACGTGTGCCAAAGCTTGTTCGCAAGCCATTGGCTTGAAGCCTGGCAGGTCGACTCATGCATGCAGTTGTATTCAAAAGTAGCTCAAACCCACACCTACAACCCTTAGATACCCCTAGGATCATCTTAAAACTCCTGGACCTCTAGTTAGCACACAAGACTCGGCAGCAGATGACGCAGCACTTCAACTCAATCTACCTAAATACAGATGCGTAAATGGAGCCATGGGAGGTGGCCAGCCGGGCCCTTGGCTACGATCAAGGTTTTGTGTTTAGGTGAATGTTGGCTTGAACGAGAAGGCCGCGTGGCAATGACAGGGATCGCAGGATGCAGCCAGTGTCAACAGACACATCAGACAGGTTCAGCAGGAAGCACACCGGCCCTGCGCGTGAACTCGAAGACAATATAATAAAACACAAGCATCTTTCAAAAAAGACCTGGTCAGGTCACCTATCTCACCTAGCTGGGTTCGGCTTTTGGTGCTTGCAGAGTCTTTTCCCCACCCTCAGTGTGGGGTTGTTCGGTTTTGGGTCAAACATGCGCCTCGCCTCCTCGCCTCCTCGCCCGGTGTCCCGCCCGGTGTCCCGCCCGATCTCCTCGGCCTGGTGCCCAAAGGTGTCCACCCCCTTTCAGGTAAAAAAGGGTGTGCGGCTCTTGGTGCTTAGGGTCTTAGGGTCATGGCTCAGGATGGATGTGGTGACTTATTACTGGGGCTTTCGTTTCTTAAATTCTAGGGTGTTCAGGGTTTTGCACACGAAGGTTTCAGGTTGCTAGTCAATGTTTAGGGTTGTGAGGGCTGGGGTTTGGTTTTTGGGTGCGGGTGTACAACTGTCGTTGTGGGCTTAGAACATTCAGGGTAAGAAGTTTAGGGTTCCCAGGGTTAGGGTGTAAGGTTTAAGGTTTGCGGCTCATGAGGAGGTTTTTTGTTGATAGTCTGGTAGTGAGGTGGGATACATGCCGTTGTATCCTGATCCCGCTACTATGATGTGGTTGGAGTCTGAAGATAGCACGTTCTTGGAGAGCTCTGGTGTTTTCGGTTTGGGTTTGATCTCGAAAGCATGGCTTTTTGTGTGGTAGCCCATGGCTGACAGAAGCTAAGCTGGAATTCTCACTTCATCTCGCTTCTGTACGTGTGCTTCCTTACTTGCACGTGGATCCGTTTAAATGCCTTGCAGCTTGGCATGGGTTCGATGATCCGTCTCTCTCATCTTTCTGTGAGAGAACTCGAGTGTCAAACGCGTTTTTGCATGCTTCTTGCGTGTTTCATCCATCTTGATGAGTGACAACCTCCGTTGTGATTTTCGTACGTGTGTAGGCGTTGGATGTGAAGTTGGCAAAGAACAACTTTGGCTGCTTTGTCGGCTGATTCGGGATGTCTTGGGGATTTCCGGAACCCGGTTCTGCTTGCTTGGCTCATAGCTGCCATAGCTTGTTGAGAATCGGTTGGTGTTGGGCTGTTGGTAAGTTTTCGCGCCACCCAATTTGGGTCGGCTGGGATTGGTGGTCGGTGTTGAGGTGGGATGGGTCTGCGGTCTCCATGTCTTGCGGGTGCCGTTGTGAGGCCTGCGGTAGGTGCAGTGAGGCGGATGTCTGGTCAGGGTTTGGAGAAACAAACAGAACCTTCCGAGAAAGAGGAGAGGTGACCTGGGACCCAGTCTGGACGAGCCGCTTCCTTGCTCCTTCTTCGCTCCTCCGCCTCTGCAGGCTGCGCGGCTTTCTGAAGCCCACTCTGTCCATAAGCGAAGGTCTTGTTCAGCTTCTTCGCCAGTTCCACCTGAACGTCCTCATTCAACCGGCTCCATTCCATCTAGACTGGCCAGGCTTGCCGGACATGGGCTTCCAAGCGAAGCACTGTGCACTCGCCCAAGATTCTGCGATTGGTGGGCAGGTCCATGGGGATGGTGTTCGTCAGGGTCGACGACGAAGTGTGTTGGTACAGCCACGCTTGGCGTTGGCTGTGGCTTGGATCCGGAAGGGATGGGAATGACGGGAAGGGGGTCCTGCGATATGGATGGGGGGTCTGGTGGGTTTTCGATCTGGGGGTTTCACGGGCTTCTGGGCCACCTGGACGCTGGGTTCAGATCTTTGGAATCACAGCATAGACTTGGCCACAGCTTGTGCGTTTTGAGATTTGCAGTGTGCTGATGGAGTCTGAGAATCCAACGGTCGAAGTCTCTGCGTGCCGAAGCCCCGGGACTCCCGAGGCTTGAGCTCCGAAGAGCCACTTTTGAGCAACTAGATTGAACGACAAGAATCGAATTCCTATTGACACGTATAGATGAGTTTAGGGATCCGGGGTCGAACCGATCACGACGGGGTTCTGATTCCGGACGCATCTGTAGGTGCCACCCACTTGGCAGGCTTGAAGTTGCAAAGCTGATCTCAGTTGGCGATTTCAAGAAGTGGCCAGCCATTTAGTCCGGAGCATGTCGTCGCGCGATCTCACAAACAAAATGCCCCCCGAAAAGGGGAATCGATTGGAATACGGCCTTTTTCTTTCAATTGGCAGTTCGAGCATATGGGCACAAGAGAAGGAACACAGTTGAGAAACAAGCAGAATGCCACCATCCTTCGCTTCTGCATTGTGTAATTGTGTTGTTGTTTTTGTTTGCTTTTGCGGTACAAGCTGCTGAAGCATTTTTTCGACAAGGAGCCGGTGTGCGGGGGCGACGGGGGGTGAAGGCAAACTCAGGGCGAAGGGCAAAAAGCACAAGCAATGCAACAAGCGATCGGTGCATGTTCAAGGAAGAAAGTTGGAAATTATACGCTAGCACACGGCCAAGCCTTGAACTCACACTGCAGGCGCTTTGGACATTCACTAGCCTCCAACGCAGCACAGCACGGGCCTGCTAAGTATTGATGATTCTCTAGGTGAAGCAAGTCGAGATGGAAGAAGCAGCCGAGGTCCATTGAAGTGGGTGGGTTTCGCATCTTCAAAGTCAATCCGGGTAGCCCGGCTGCCGAAGCTGGCCTGGAAGTCTTCTTCGACTTCATCTTGGAGATCGATGGCGTGCTTATGGATGCAGATCAGGCCACTTTTGCCAAAGCCATCCAAGAATCGGAGAACCAGCGGACGAAGCTGGTTGTCCACAACATCCGAACGCATACGTCGGGCTCCGAGAGGGTGTCTGCACCTGTCTCCAAGCATTCAAAACCCATGCGCTCTCTTAGGGCACGGGATGTCTATGTCACACCTAGGCAGGGGCTTGGGAACAAAATGAGCATGTGTGGCATGGAAGATGGAGTACCATGCGTTGCCATGTTCTCGTGTTTTCCCTTCGTTTTGAAGGCGCTGGGGTGGTGCTGGCCTCTTAGGCGCTGTTGTCCAAGACTTAGCGCCACTTGCCCTTGGAAAGCCCCGCACGATCTCTTCGCCGATCGACGGACGATGAGGTCCGCTACGACACCTTGGAAAGTGCCGAAGGGCAGGCGCTGGACCTTTTGGAGCTTCAGTGGCTTTGACAGCGAGGGCGCATGTGCATGGCTTGTTCTTGCACTCCAGCACTTCTGGAAGGGCATGCGCGTGCTGACCGTCTTCCCTGACTCGCCGGCAGAAGCTGCGGGATTAGTACCAAACAAGGACTTGTCGTTGCACCTTGTTTGTGCTGACACTGCGAGTGAACGAAGCAATGTGGAAGCTGCAGGACTTCCTCCTCGGAACGACCGAGGTGATGTTCAGAGATATGGATGCTTTGCCGCAATTTAAGGTTTGGTGGCGAGCCATTCCATCCTTTGCCTGTTTAGCTGCAGTTCCCATACGTGCGCAGATGCGCAGCCATCCAGAATATCTTAAGCTGCTGTCTAAGAGAAGGGTTGGATTGTCCACACACAGCTTGCCAGGCAGCAATCAGGGTTTGTAAAGTGGCCCCTATCGGCCAGAACAGCGCGTGTTGTAGTCGCAGTCTGTTGCGCAAGCTTGTCCTTGGATTTGTTTCGGTTGGTACGGTTGTGAGGCACAGCTTGCCTGGCAAAGTGATACAGGACGTGGCGTTTTTCTGTCGTGCACAGATCGTCAGGAAGTTTATGGAATTCGAAAACAAGCTGCAGATCCAGCCCTTCGAAAATGATCTGGCGTGCTCTGCGCCTTCCTGCGAGCCAGGGTCTACAAGCGTCAACATGCACCACCCACACCCGGCATCATGCTGAAAACCAAATTCTTGCATGAAGGAAATGTCTGCGTGGTGGCGCATCTGGGACTTACCGCCCAATACTGTTGGGTTGAGGATTTGGCCAGCCAATATCTCCGTTTAGGGTGTGCTTGCCGCTGCCACCGGCGTTAAGGCCTTGCCATTTAAGGTTTCCGGCTTGCTCTTTATCTTCTTTTCAGGCATAGGGCTTCGTAGCCAACGTGCCTTCAGAGTTTCAGAACGGCCCCTTCAGCATGGCTTGGGGTTTGCCCCCCAACATCTCATTTTAAGGTTTTGGCTTGTCGTTTTCTATCATCTGTTTGCATGCCCAACACCCCCTAAGGGTTTAGGCTTGACATCCAATGTCTCCGTTTAAGGGTTCCGTCTTGTGTCTCCTTCTAGGGTTTATGCTTGAACACCTTGAATCCCATGTTAACGTGTAGAGTCTCTTTGTGCATTCCAAGGTTTGCGACCCAACATCTCCATTTATAGGGTTCAGGGTTTGCCATATTTTCTTCCCTTCAAGGAACGTTTCTTTTGCGGATTGAGGTTTTCCAGCTTGCATCCCCTTTGTAAGGTTCAGGACTTGTCACTCCTTTCATATTTGGAGGGTTTCGGGCTTGGCATCCACGATTTTCTTTTGGGTTTACGGGTTCGTCACCGAGTCTCTGCTTTGAGGGGTTGGGGGTTGCTGCCCTTCATCACCTTTGGGGTCTTGAGTTTTTCGCGGGCCCGACATCGATTTCGCCACGGGTGTGATTTTGCCGCAGTTTGCCGCCCAATGTCTCCTTCCGGCACTTTGGGTTTGCCATTTTCATCTCCTAGGTTTAGGGTTCCGCGCCCCTCCCAGGACCTCCTTGAAGGGCTTCGGGTTTCCCCCCAATTTGTCTTTCAAGTTTAGGGGTTGTCACACCGCAGAAGTTGGCTACTACCCGTCTCCTCTTGGAGGGGCTGAGTCCATGCATTTCTTTTTCGTTCTCGGGCTGTCTTCCAGGAAACACGAGCTCCCGTGTTTTGTGGGCCCCTTCTGGGTTGCCCAACTCCTGCTCTCTCGCTTCCAGTTCCGGGCTTCCGCCGGGCCTGGCGCGCGCGTGAGCAAAACGATGTAGCCCTGGTAAGATCTGGTAAGATCGGAGCTGGGTGAGCCTTGTCACGAACCGACCATCCAGTCCAGCCATATTCCACTTCCTACCACATGCGTACGACTACAGAAAAGGCGATTGGGCAGAGTGTTCTTTTCAGTACAGTGTGCCTCCTTTGTCAACAACGGACCGACAAAGGAAATCACATCAAGTTGCCTTTGCAGCTGCACAAGCGGATGCTGCCCTGCCGTCCAGAAAGCTACAGCGCTGGAAGCAGCGCATGCTTGTGACAATGCTTTGCGACTCCAACAACAACAATCATTTGAGTCTGTTTCGAGTCTTGGGGACTGTTTTTCGTGGGTCGTAGGAACTGGTACACTGCATGTGGCCCTGCAGTCCTTGAGCTTGAAGGGGAGATCCTTCGCCCAGGATGAGCTAACAGAGGTGGTGAACCTGTACATGGGGATGGAGTTGAAGATTTACGCACCTTGGCATCTTTGCAAATTTCCTAAGAGAGTGTTGAGGTGTCCAGGGGCACATTCTCGGTACCTGCGCGATTCACAAACTGGACGCGACTCAGGAAACCACGCCATTCAGGAAACCAGGACTCAGGAAACCACACAATTCAGGACTCATGAAGACAGGCGATTCAGGAAACTGTCCGATTCGGAAAACTGTTTCTTTACGCGATTCAGGACTGTTTCCACGCGATTGAGAAACCGCGGTTCAGGAAACCATGCGATTCAGGAAACGGAAAACACGAGATTCAGGAAAACCATGCGATTCCGGAAGATGCAAGCACGCGATTCAGGAAACCACGCGATTCAGGAAACCTGCGATTCAAGCACACGATTCAGGAAACTTCGATTCAGGAACCAGGCAATTCGGGAAACCAGCAGCTGGTCGATTCCGGGATCCACGCGGTTGAAATGCCCACCATTCAAGCAACTGCAATGGCAGCGACGGGGGGGGGGGGGGGGGGGGGGGGGGGGGGGGGGGGGGGGGGGGGGGGAGGTGAGGGGGGGCTGAGAATGTTCATGGTTAAGCTGCTTTCAGAAATTTTGAACTTGAAGACAAGATTCTGGCCCAAGATGAGGATTTTATTTCTCAGCCGTAGTGAGCTTTCTTGGGTGCCTGGGTCCCAAGTCCCAGGGTCCAGCCATGGATCAGAATCGAGGGTTTCGGGAAGTAGCGCCCCCCGATGAAGCTGAGCAGCATGCGCAGCGAAGTCAGCTAACCATGAACAAAACCGGCAAGCGAAGCTACCAAAGAGCTTGTAAAGTTGCCCTGGCGAAGGGAGCAGCACTTTACAAAGGCCGTCTTCTGACAGCTCAGGCTCTAGGAGCTCATGAAGGACAATTCGCGTCTCCTGCGAAAGCGGAGAGGCGCTCTTTTCAACCAACCAGACAGATCCATCACAAATTTGACATGGAAGTCCTTACTTGGAACGCAGGCTCAATTACAAGTCGAGTTTGGAACGAGATTCTGGCCCTTTTGGCAACAACAGAGTACAAGAACATCAAAATCGTTTTCCTGCAGGAGTCGCATTGGCAGCAGGACCAGGTCTACAGCTCAGGCCCGTGGTCAGTCCTAACCTGTGGTTCAACAAGCAGACACAAGGCTGGCCTGGTTGTTTTGGTGCATAGCTCACTGGCTCCTCTTTCAGAAATTCGCAGCACTTCCATTGTTCCAGGGCATTTGCAGCACGTCATGATCCCGTGGCAGAGATCCAGAATACATCTCCTGAACCTGTACCAGCACGTCTGGGATTCAAAGCTCTCGAAGACGGAAAACAGAGGCAGGAGAAAGGACGTGATGACACAGCTCGAAAATCGCATTCAGCGAGTCCCACAACGTGATTTCTTGCTTGTGGCTGGGGATTTCAATTCGCATGCGGTGACTGAACGTCCTCATATCGGACCCAGTGTGCCCCATCGAGTACGGTTTGCAAATGCAGATGTGAAGACACTGCCCTCGCTCTGCAAATCCTGTGGACTAACTGCGCTGAACACTTGGGCTTCTGGCCATCGCAGTACGTATGTTAACAGTGATGGCACATATTCCTCTCAGATCGATTTTTTGCTGGTCAGACTGCACGATGCTCGGAGGAGATCCTCGGATAAGAACTTTCCTGTGGCTGCCTACAGAGATGGATCAAAACACTTTCCAGTGCGAGCTACTCTGTTCATTCCTCCTTACAGTCCTACACCCAGCAAGCCACGGCCATTTGATGCCACAGCCCTGGATGCGAGCTTTCGGCGGAAAGATGACAACTGGCAGGCATTCTCACATCGTCTGACGGAAGCAGTGGTGAGGACAATGCAAGTGAGACCGTCTTGGCAAGACCTGGATGAAGTGATGGTTCGTGTATCAGCTGAGCACTACCCTCCACCACGCAAGTCTCAGCCAGCAGCAGGTCCAATCCATCAGGAATATTGGAAGAAAGTGCGGCAAATCCAGGCGCACAAGAGGGCTGGAACCGAGCATAATCCAGAATGCCAGAAGCTTGTGGAGGACATCAAGGAGGAGGCGCGGACTTTCAAAAAACAGCAAAAACAAAGAAAGCTAGAGAAGCAAGAGCAGTTGCTTCTACAAGCCCAGGAAGATAAAAGGCAACAATCCCACAAACTGGCTCATACTCTCAGGAAACTCGCTCCGTGGCGCCCAGTGCAGAGAGTCAACCTAAGGGATCAAGCAGGTGAGCCGCTTGATACGGAGGCCTCACTAAAAACTATGCGCGAATACTCGAGGCAAATCTTCTCCAAAAGTCCTCCTTTGCAATCAGTAGCTGCTGTGCCTAGAGCAGCGATCACCGCCTTGCAGGTATCCTCACAAATCAAGACAGTGCCAGTGGGGAAAGCAGTCCCTAGCACCTCAGCTCCAGTATCAGCCTGGAAGAGTCTAGGTCCTGAAGCCCACGAACACATAGCAGGTCTAATCAACTCTGAGGTGTCTCAATCAGAAATTTCCCCTTATCTAAAGGATCCTAGAATTGCATGGATCCCCAAGCAGGGCAAGCCAGCCACCGCCATGCCAAACCTGAGGCCCATAGGAGTCATCAGCGTGCCAGGAAAAGTGCTAGCAGGCGCAGTGAAAATTCGCATTGCGCCAGCACTGCAGGTGAGCTCACAGCTTCAACCTCAGTTTGCGTATATACGGCAGAGGGGGGTGCGGGACGCTATCGCGAAAGCATGTCAGCACCTCGATTTCGCGCAGCAGCTCCGTCAAGAGCATCGCAGGGACCTGCACAAGTCCCAACGCGGAGCCAGGCAGGCTCAGCTGTCAGGTGCACTCACTATTTCGGTTGATCTGAGCAAGGCTTTTGATTCTGTTAATAGACATGAGCTGCTAGCAGCCTTGGATCGCCTGGGAATAGACCCTGTTACGAAAGAACTGGTAGTTCAACTCCATAGTGAGACCTCCTACAACATGGGCACAAGTGGACTAGAGATTCAAGTTCCCACTTCTTCAGGAATCAAACAAGGTTGCAAGCTAGCCCCGGCATTGTGGTCTGCGCTTACACTTCTAGTCATGAGCAGAATGGAGCAGAAATGGGGCCCAGACAGCAAGCAAGCTAGGGACATCCTAACGGTCTTTGCGGACGATTTCCTGCTTCAGGAAACCTTTTCGAGCTTTCCTGAACTTCAGAAAGTCCTGCTCAGAATAGAGGCTCTCTTTCAGTCTCTTGAGGACGTGGGGCTGGAAGTCAATCCAACGAAGTCTAAAGCCTTGCTAATGGTTCAGGGCACTCAGCAGCCCATCTTTCGCAAGATGCACACGATGCGCAAAGAGAAGCAGCTGCACATCGTCCTTCCCTCAGGACATAAGATTCCGATTCATCATAAGCTAACATATCTAGGGGTGCAGCTCAGCTATGGTTCCTACAAAGACCAGACTGTTGACTATCGGATCGCCCAAGCTCAAGGCAAGTTTGAGCTACTTCGACACATCCTGTGCTCCACTAAGGCTCTGGATGCTTCAAAGAAGTTGGAGATCTGGAGGGTCTATGTGGAATCCTCACTCTTGCATGGGCTTGTGGCCACAGGCATCACTTCATCAGGTCTTCAAAAGCTCCAGAGTAAATACTCGAGGATGCTAAGATCCATCTTTAAGCAACATCAGCACTACAGCCACATTGACACGAAGACTCTGTTCGAGCAATATAAGGTGCAGACTCCTCAAGCAGTTTTGATCAGCCAGATGAAAAACTATCAAGACGCACTAGATGCCTGTCAGAAGCACAACCCGGATCAGAACATACAGTGGTATCTGGGACTTAGAGGTAGGATTGTTGCGCTGCAACAGGAGCTTCGGAGCATGCAATTGGACCTGACTGAGGCAGTCCAGGAGGTGCCGTGCTCTCTGTGTGATCGGAAATTCTCCAGCGCCAAGGGTCTTCAGCACCATACACTGGTGAAGCATGGAGGACAGCGTGCGAATCAGCTAGGCCCAAAATTTCAGGTCACTGTGCATAGCTGCAAAGGACTCCCGCAATGTGTGGCATGCAACAGGCAGCTGCGCACAATGCATCAACTTCGCAGACATGTGGAGTCAGGCATTTGCCCTCAGCTGCACGAGTTGAAAGAACGAGCCAAATCCTGTACAAGTTCAGAAAGCATAGCTATGATCTATCAGTCTAGCGTGCAGGAACAACTTAAGAAGGACCCTGACCTCCTACTAAAAAAGAGACATGTCACTCAGCATCTATTAACGAACTGCAGTCTCTGTGGGCAATATATTGTTGGCCACAAAGGAGTGAAGCAGCACATTCAGAAAGCTCATCCCGCTTTCTGGGCACAGTCCTCGGAATCCATTCTTGCCAACATGCGAACACATAAGCGCCTCCTGCACAAAAAAGAGGAATGTAGGTATTGTCGCATTTTGGTAGACGCTCCAGTACGCCATGCAGAGCAATGTGTGGTTCTGCTTCAGACATATGCCATGAGTGCAGCTTGTGCCAAGTCTGTAGAACTGCCAGACCTCTTCCGTGCAGATCCTCCAATTAGCCAGGTGAGAGGCAGGGAGGCTTCCTCCCGGGAGGCTTCCTCCAGCAGCCGAGCCTCTTTGCTGACACACACTGCAAGCGTCTCTGGTCGTTCAGCCACTGCACCTCCCACAGCTTCCGTGCAAGACGCTGCCTGGCGTCTAGCTTATCATAATCCGCATCAACTTTGCTATGCACACACTGTCGTTCATATCCTTCTCTCTCTCTTGTCAGATGGACTGTTCCCTGATCCTTCCTTAAATTCCATCCTAACTGAAATAGGTTCCCTAAATGGCAGATCCTCTCATGCGGATGTTCGGAGGTTGAGACATCTTCGTCCGCTGCTAGCAGGGTGGCGACTACGACCCAGGCAGGAGGATGCATCACAATTTTTGTTGCATATCTCTCAGCGCATTCCAGATCTTTCATCAGATAAATGGGAGGCGCGAGTTCATATCTCAGAACCGGAGGAACGCATAAGTGTTGAGGAAAAAGGCGG